CTAGCTCCTCCTTTGACCATGTGCTGCTTGGCGGTGGACTATATGCATTTATCATCATTAGTTTATCATCCTCATAGCAGATCTCTAGTGCTATTATGTCAACTTCTTGTGGATTGGCAGTCATTATTTCCTTCACCTTTAGGTGTTCTTTTACCAGCACAGCAACGCCACCGCCTTTCCTAATTTTTTCTGTCCCGTCTCCAAATTGAGTAGCCCTTGGGAATATGACCTCATTTAAAATTACATCTTCAAGTTTTGTCTCCGTGAGTGCAACAATGTCTGGTGTCTGCAGCTGTATTACATCACTTAACTCCAGTATCTTCGATCTCACTCCATCTATGTTGGTGTATGCAATCTTCAGGAACTTGTTCCCCCTCTCCTTATTCTTCACTCCCCCTCTCTCTATTGATTTTGTTGGTTTGCCTTTATGTACCACTTTACTGGTTTGCCTACCCCTATCACTTTGTAGAAAAAAGAATTTATTTCTTCTTCATTCCTGCTCTCATTTAAATGTTTTGCCTCGGCGAGGTTCAGTTTCAGCTTCTCTCTATCTTCTTTTGAAAGATCTCGTCTTAACGACCACCCTTTCCCATCCTCATCCCTTTGCAATTTTCTAGCATTCCTTAGTACTTCTTCCATCTGTTTGGCACCGTTTAGGGTGATCCTCAAGGTCGATCTTTCCCTTTTACGTACCTGCCTATTCTCCTGTAGTCGCACACATTCTCTCTGTTTGTAAGACCTTCCACGAGGCCAACAATTTTATCTACTACTTTAGCTTCTTCTACAGCTCTTTCTGACCTAGATGTTATCGCCTTTTCTTTGCAGCCAAAAATGATCAGGGACTTACTCCGATCAACTGTGTTTTGCACCAACTTCGGGTTAGATGCCAATTCTTTCCTCACTTCTAGCCTAATGTTTGTTTTATCTTGGTTGCTGCAGTGTTTGACTTCCTTTACTGCTTCTTCTATTTTTTCCTTCTCCTTGGCCACTTGTGCATAAGTGAGTTGCATATCTTTCTTGCACTGTTCTATTCCCTGTGTAACTTCCTCCATCTGTGCTGACAAAAGCTGTTTCTCCTGTTGAATTTCCTTGCCTAACCTATTGTAGTCATTTATGTTTAAATTTACTTTAACTTCTTCCAAAGCTATTTTTAAGAGTTTATTTTCTTCTTCCATGGCTTTGCAATTTGTTTCCAATTGATTCTTATCCTTGCGCAAGTCTTTCACTAAACCCTCAAGACATAAAACTTTGCTATTCAAATGGTCATTACTTTCTTTCAATTTACTAATTATTTCTACATGAGAGTTCACTATAGTATCTAAATTTACCAACTTGTTATGTAGACTGCTAATATCAATGCTTTCTTCATTGAATCCCTCAAAATCAAGCTCTGTTTTGTTTTTCCCCTTGCCAGTGGCCATCTTGAATGTTCTTCTCTGCACTGTAAACACTAGGGCAACTTTTTCTCATCCGATTTTTCACTTCCCTTAGCACTTTCCTGTTATCTCACCTATTTTCAAGAGCACTATACCTTTATGTTCTCTGGGACACCACTCACTACCATCAACCTGTACTACAATACTTAGGATTGTTGAAATATGCTGGAGCTCCTCTGCTGCAAGTGTTGACCCTAGGGGTGTCACCTTTTTTTTCTTCCGTGTGTGTAATTACCTAAGTGTGTGTGTGTGTGTGTGTGTGGTACCAGAGTCTAATGCACCAGGGAGCTACTGAACACACCCAGAACACTGTGTTTTATTGCATTCAGTGCTTGATTTTGTTGTTTTTGCTTATCAGGTTATCTTCTACAGTTATATCAGACAAGCAATATTTGTTATAAGCTGTACAGTAGTGAATTTAAACAATTTATTATTGAGAGGATAACCAGGTAACTTTAATGTAAGCCACACAGGAATAAAGAACAGCTTGCCAGTTGACATTTTAGTTCAGATGATGAGGTTAAGGATGTTTATTCAGATGCAGAGGCAAACACAAGTGTTGATGAGTAGTTACTTCCAAGTTACATACATGAGATGTTATGAAATATATTACTTTCAACATAATAGGCCTTTTAATCATTACTTGCTAGATATTATTACTTGCAGCCACCTCTTTATACAGCACGTCTTCCTAAGCATTCCCAGCGTCAATAAACTGTGGTACTAAAGTGCCCGAACCTAACCAACCCAAGAACCCACAGACAGAAAATGGGTCATCACGTTAATTTCGAGGGCCAGTACCATTTTTTAGTACATCGATTTTTGGCCTTAGGTATATGTCAAAATGTGATATTCTATTATGGGTTAAACTGGTTTCTTTATGTACCACAACAAAAGTGGTGACTTACCTTCCGCACAACAGGCCGTTTACCTCCGACGTGTTTCACTTGTCCTTCACTCCATGTTAGATTATCATACATCATTTCTCTTCTTGCTAAAATTAGAAAAGCTAAAGTTTATAAATTAAACAAAATATTAGTAAATATTTGAAACACATTAGTCTTGTCTTCTAACTTAACAATCACTCAATTTATATGAAAACCCAGCATTGAATGTAATGAAACACCAGTTTCTGAGTGAGCCCCAGAGGCTTCCTGAAGCTATAATCACTGATTAAGTCCCATACTACTAAGTGTCATCAGTTGATGAGCTCTTTTTGCCTACCAGGGACCAAGAGCCAGAACCTGCCCCCCTCAGTGAGGCTGAGGGAAAAGATGGCCTATGATCACTTTACATTTAATGGTTTTCATCTTTGTCATTACAGGTGGATATTTTAAGGTTATCATCTTTGCCATCGTGCTACCTGGTCTTTGGAGTTGGTTTTTTTTTTTCTTTCTTCTGCTCATTTTAACTGTGACCCCTTCGATCTGTGATTGCTTTTGGAAGGCTTTATTTTGGCTTGCCTTGGCCTCTAGTTGTCATGGGTGAGCTTCATACTCTCCTCAGGCACCGGGGTTTTTCTTCCTTTGGTCCTGGGGGTTGTTTTATTCCTTTGCAACCTGCTCATCCTTTTCTGGCAAAGAATGAGACAGCTGGTTTCCAGAGGGTGCCTCCTTGGTTGTGGAAGCTTTTCTGGTTCGGCCAGGGGTGCATCATGCGCTTTATTCGGTGGCGGCTTTACACCACTATCTTTGTGCCACCGTTTCTGTTTTGGTGGACTCATTGTGGATTGATCCGGATTCTCTGGTTCCCTGTTCCAGAGTTCGTGTTTCCCCAGGCTGTCCGTAGGGTCTTTAAAGCTAGCCAGCCTGCAGTCAACCCTCGTGCTCATGATGTTCACAAAACACGCTGACTTGTCAGCTGTTTTTAGTAATATGTCGGGCCGATGTTCAAGCATGGGGGTTTTGGAGATCTAACAAGGTTTTGGCCACCAGGTATCTTGTCAATCAAGCGTGCAGATCCGACAGAACCCATGCCACACACCCCAACGAAAAGAATGGGCAGTCTGCCAGCCAGGAAGACTCCAGAACCTAAAACCGGGAAGAAGAACTGAACTCAAAAGAGGACAGATCCATCACAGAGGCATAAACCAGGTCTCGCAAGAGGTAAGCAGCAAGAGCCTCCTGAGCCTCCTTCGCAGAGATACGAGAGGTATAAAACCTCTGGAAAGATGTGCCGAGGTACCCAAAGGGGCCCGGAACCGAACCCAGGGAGGAGCCGAACCCAAATCATACTCATACAGGGAAGGGGGTAAGAAAACCCCTCCCCTTGCATCAATAAGCCCTGGGAGGAAGCCAAATGCACCCAAGTGGGGTTAAAGGGAGCCCAAGGCCCCCAGGTTGACTCCTCCCCAGCCCTGAGATCCTCCAAGTCGGGACCTGGGGCAGAGCCGTCCTCCACGCCCTCTACCCCTGAAGAAAAGGCAGACAAGAAGGGGGCCTGTTGGTGGGACTCAGAAGCCTCGGCAGGAGGAACTGGCTTAATTGACTCCGAATCCGAGCCGAATGGGGCAGCCCCCGAAGCCTCCAGAGTGTCATTACCAACTAAACCCTGCGCCGAATCCGAAACCCTCAGATGTTTGAGAGCCGGACACGGGGGGGAGGGGGGAGGTGGAGGATGAACAACAGGGAAAAGGCCAGGGAGCGAGGATGGAACAAAAGTTGAAGCGACTAACACTCCTAGGTCCGGGTCCATAAAACCAAAGCAAAGCAGCCGCGGGGCATCCGGGTGGGAAACTAACCAAGCACGTTGCAGTAACCTAAACCTAACATGCAACACGGATGCTGCCTGTACCCTAACAGGAACATCCTCAGAATAAAACTGGAGCACAAGCAGAGAGCAAGACTTGCAAGACTCCAGGTCAAAGGTGTCGTTGACCCAACAGGCAGCATGACGGAGGCAAAACAGGTGACTGTCACCCTGAGACAATGGCACACAGCAACCTCCAAACCCGCACAAGGCAGGCTGGAATTCGGGAGATGCATCCATGGGTCCACAGAGCCCCGACAGGGTTTTCCAGGGCAAGTAGGCTGACTGCTACGGGAAGCCCGGGCAAGGTGTTGCTAACCGGTTAAACACCCAAAGTAACAAGGGGTAGATGACAACACTGAAACCCCTGAGACGTGTACAAGCTCGGGGGCCTAGCAGAGGGCCACCAAAATAGTATCAGGGGAAACTATTGTCCCAAAAGGCAGAACCCCCACCAGGCAAACAAACCCCGCAAAAGAAAAAAAAGAAAACCCCCGCAAAAGTACACCATACTCAGAGGGAACAGGAACCAGTCGCCGCGTAGGTGGCAGGTCACGCAACCCTTAACGCCCTAACCAGCACAACCACCACTCCCTACCCAAGGCCAAACAAGGGCCTCAAGTCCCAGCTGGCCCGAAGGGCGAGGCAAATGCCGAGCAGCAAGAACCCCTACGAGAGTGGTTCCTGAACGCCGCATGGAATGTGACCCTGACACGCAGGGGTGTTTGGGGAGTAGAAGAACTCCCAGAACCCTATCAACCCCGTATCAACCAGGGGCAGTACTCACAGGGTGCTTAGGGAAGGAAGCCCCTAAGCGCATGCAGCCCCGCCACTGATGAGGTACTCCTGGCCACCACACACCACACCAAGACAGCAGAGAATGAAACACAGGCAAACACCACCCAGGAAATTGAGGCCAGAGAAGCATCTGTCCCGGTTGACAATAGCTTATGAAATAAAGTGCTAGGCAGCCAGCACGGTGAGGTCCGGCCCCCCCCTCTCTCTCTCGAGGATGGGAGGGCTGCGCGGACGAGCTGCGCGGCAGTAAAGTGGGATGTTTTCTTATTAGCTTGTTTCCTTGGGATTGTAGGGCGTTTCTACCTCTCTGTTCGTTTTTTGTTTTAGATTCCTACCATGTGGCACTTAGTATGCCTACCTTTCTGGGTGCCTAACCCTGGTCAATGGCAAATAAGGAAAACCCCCAACCACAAGGGGCTTTCCAGGGCCATTGCTCCCTGAAACCTCTCGGAAGGGGCCAGGTTCCGGCTCTGGTCCCTGGTAGGTCTGAACTCCATAAATATGTCCCACTCTAATATAAAGTACATTAGCCCAATAAGTCCAGGGAGTCGTAGGGGATCCCCACAGAAAAGGGCATTCTGCCAACCAGGAAAAACTCTGGCACCTCGTAACGCACCCAGTAAAGAAAAGTAGAACCAAACTCAAAGGAAGGAGGATTCATTATCGAGGCGAAATCCGGGTCTCGTAGGAGGTATTAAGTCCAAGACGGATAAAAAAGTGCATTCCCTCAAGCCACCCAAGTCTCATCCCGAGCTAAACCTCTCCCCGACTCTGAAACCCTCAGACATTTGGGAGCCAGCAGCAGAGGAAGAGAACCAAAGCGAACCACCCTACCTGGAAAGGAAGCGGGGATGCGGACAAAACCAAAGTTGATGCAACTAACTTCCCCAAAATTAGTACCCTAAAACCCAAGCGAGGCAGCTCCTAGGCTTCCAATCGGGCAATCTACCTGGCTCGTTGCAACAATGACTACCAAGCATGCAAAGCAGCCGCCGCCAAACCCCTAAGATCTTCACACAAAGAATGGGTAAACTGGAGCACGAAAGGAGAACAAATCCCACACGACTCCGGGTCAAAGGTGTCACAAACCCAACAGGCAGCATGTCGGAGGCAGCACGGATGATCCTCACCCCCATGACGGGCAATGAACAACCTTCAAACTCGCACAAGGTGAGAGGACTCTGAAGACACGCTCATAGTCACCCCAAGCCCTAAGGTTTGGGGTGATATGAGCGTCACTCTCATGAGCGTCATGAAAAATCCATCCCCTGCGGGATTTTTCAGATCCCACAGGGGATGGGGGAGGGGAATCCCTACAGGAAACTCAGGGACTGGGCTAGCTAAGCCAGTCGAACCCCCCCATCTAATACCAGGCAAACTGATGACCAGTAGGAGTCGTGAAACCTCAAGGGAACCAGAGGAAAACTACGAAACACAACCTTCTAATGGGAAGCTAGGCAGCCCTCCTCCAGATGAAAAGACTAGAATAAAAGCATAACCCGGAAAACCCACAAACAAATGAACTGCCAGTCAGAGAGAGACTTGGCTGCCGAGTGTGTGCAGGCTGCACCGACCACAGTGCGCCACACTCAGCAAAAAACCAAATGTAATGAAACGCCATTTTCTGGGTGAGTCCCGGAGGCTCCTTGGAGCTATCCAGGCTGAATGGATATGTATAACTTTCTGGCATCAGTCAAAGGCTAGGAGTTCTTGCCACCAAGCCAGAACCTGGCCCCCCTCAGAGAGGCACAAGGAGCAATGGCCTATAGAAACCCCCTTGTGATTGGGAGCATTCTATGTCTGCCATCAACCGGGACAGGCACCCAGAAAGGTAGGCGCCCCAAAACAAACCCCTATTCTGGTGAAATTATTGCTACCGAAAGCCGAACGAGTGGACAGAACTCCCCAAACAAAATTATCAAACTAGCATGACGTCATCACGTCGCCGCGCCACCGTCTGCGCAACCCCCCCTCCCCGAGAGGGGGAAGGGGGAGCCCCAGACCCTTCACGCCGGCGATCCAACTGGCAGTTCTTAGGCTGGATGTCAAAAGACGCGAAAACGGCACCGACCGGAGGGAGGGAGGGATGCTGGGGAGCCTCCGGGACTCACCCAGAAAATGGCTTTTCATTACATTCAATGCTGGTTTTCTGGGGGGAGCCCCGTCGGCTCCCCGGAGCTACCTTACCAAAAGATAAGTAAAACAGGGAAGGAACCGGGAGGCGGATACCACACGTCCTAACTGACCAACCAAAACCAGAGACAAAACAAAAACCAAAACGAGAAGAAAAAGACCACCCAGGCCAACGACCAGGATGGCCCCAAAACTCAAGAGTAGGCCAGAGGGGAACAACGCCCAGGACAGCAAGTGGAATGGAGCAGAAGGAACCGCAACACTGAACGTAAGCAGGAGCGGCTCTGCCAGCACCACCCAACATGAGGTGACAGG